AGTTGGTGAGTTAGTCATATAAGAGGCCCATGCTATAAAAAGGGAGAAACAAATCAATAGTTTCTAAAAGTTGAAAAATAAAAAAAACATTCTTGAAAATTTTCACATTCAATTTTCTGTCCATACTTCAGGATATTATGTTCCTTTCCCAGAATCAATCAATGAACTGTGGCATTATGGTCTCCAATAGTTGATAATTAATGCGGCAAATAAAAATGGCCAATAACAAAGGGCTTCAAATTGGATATAATATTTTTCCTTGAAATATTTTCCAATTAAAGAAAAATGTATATTTCCTGAAAATATAAACATGGAAAACTGAACTAATATTTTATTTCCCTTAGGCTGATATTAAACTAACTTTTATTACAGGTCCCTTAGAGAAATATATAGATTACATTAAGACAGTGTTGAGTCATGTTTTGCGAGAGGGTGGCCATAAAGATGTGTTTAATAAATGAAAAAAATAAAAGATATGCAATTGGTTTATAGGGTGGTGTGATGGCTGTGGTACAGACACTGGGCTTGGCTTGTCAGTTGGAAAGCCGACAGTCCCAGTTCAAGACCTAAGTATTGTGAGCTCCTGTGCTCACTCCAGCTCTTGCCAAACCAGCAGTTCAAAAGCATGAAAATGCGAATAGATAAGTAGTTACCACTTTGGTGGGAAGGTAACAATGCTCCGTGAGGTGATGCTGGCCACATGACCATGGAAAATCTTCAGACAGCACTGGCTCAACGGCCTTTGAAACAGAGATGAGCACCAGATCCTACAGTTGGAAATGGCTAGTGGAATAAATCCACAGGGGGCCTTTTTTAAAAATTTGGTTTACACATTCATAAACACATGGAAAGAGACAATAGTTGGTGTTGGTGGAAAAATGTTTACATTGTCTTGATTTTTATTTCTTACCCTTTAGTGTGTTTTGCATAATGTTGCTTAACCCAAAATGAATAATGTGATGGTATGTGCGTATGTAAAAGATACTTGCAACTTTCAGTATGTACTTTGTTATGTCCAGTAGAGTAGGGATCAAGAGAGCATGATTACAGATATGCAACAGACACATAGTATGGATATTCTTCCAAACATTGCAGGCTCCACTGAGTAATATAAGGCAAAACTGTATGACATGTATAGATACCTATACATATTATTGCATAGGGTCAGACATTCACTAACATCTCTTTTTTTTAATCTTTCTATTATCAAATCACCTCTTTCTGCAGCCCAACAAGCTTGCTAGAAATTTAAACTGATAATTTGCTGAGACTAAGTCAAAAGCTGAATTGCCCATTCTTACTGAAGTTCAGGGGGAACTAAATCACATGGGTGCTGACATTTTACAGAGATAATATGGTTAAATCCATTTCTGACTAAAATCTAAAGCTGCTTTACTGGTTTCTAAAGTTCATCTGGCCTCTCAAAAATAAGCCACTGCCTGTAAGCTTGTTCATTTTATACATTCTTTTGTAAATAGACATTGGACTGTAAAAAAAAATTAGATACATTAGATTGTGAGCTTCATAAAAGCCAGAATGAAAATTTCAAGAAAGGAAATCTTGTTGGGAAATTTGTCTTCCTTTCACTCATGTTCAGCAAAGTAACTTCCCCATCCCTGGTGTAAAAAAAACCCAACAGCAGGCTAATAAAATGAACAAAGAACTGTCAGAAACAATAGGTTTATTGAAAGCTTATTTGGAGGATTTAGATAAACCAAATTTAGTTTTAGTGCTACAGTTCTAAAATATTAAAGACAATAGGAAACTATCTAGCCACAAGTAACCAATTGAAAAAGAGGAATACAGCTTAGCTGAAATGGATGCTTTGTTGAAAAATGAAATGTTTCTAATTTCAGCCTTCAAAATACTAAAAGAGTAACAATAAAAGCCAAATCTTACAAAAAAGATATGATATTCACCAGCAGATATGATATTCTCAGTGACGTGCAGCATGACGGAGATTGTGCAACAGGACACAATACAAGCATTTAGTAATTAAGAATTACACTATATTCCAGAAAAGAAATAAGTCTCTTCCCTTAAAAATCAAAATGAAAGACAAATTATAGATTTGGAAAATAGATTTGGAAGCTGATGAATGGGGAAAGGAAAGAAGGTAAAAGGAGCAGAAGAAGAATAGAGGTCCTTATCCTAATCTATTTCCTTTGTAATCAGAAAATAGGAAAGAAGCAAAAAACTGCTTTTTTGGAGGGTAAGAGGAAAGCATTTATTTCACTGGTGCTGGAGGAATGGAACATATATTTTCACAATTGGAAGTGTTGGCATCAAGGAGAAAAGATCAAACACAGCCCAAGTAAAAGAAATCAGGCAGTCATTCTCCATATTGTTTTGCTACTCAAATGTCAAATAAGATAGGATTCTTGAAATAAAAAAAAGCCAGTGGCATTTAAATTCTTTGAAGAAGAGCATCCAAAATGTAACTTAGTTAAACTATTGCTCTCCTAGCAAAAATAAATGGATACTAACCAGTAAAACTATTTCCAACAACTGACATATAAAGTACAAACACCCCAAAACACTGAAAAAAATCTACCAATAACAGATGTGAGCATTTCATCTAATTGCAAGACTAATTGCAATGTGGCTGGTTTACAAGATAGTTAACTGAAGACATCCTGCCTGACATTAGCTGGATTTGATAAACCGTTTAATAAATCAGCATGATTTATTTGTATCCAGCACATTACTTCTTCCCTAGCTTTTTCCAATGGAATTTTTTTGCAATTGAAATATATTAAAATCCTGAAAAATCTACATTAAAATATCCTAAAGCTGAGGCTATTCATATTTTTTTCATCAAAATATTGTGCATTTATCACAACCATTAAAAATCTCCAGGACACTTAAGCCTTGTCAAACATTCTAAAGGAGCACAACTCTTCAAAGTGGGGAGAAACTACTTCCACAGACATGCAGCTTCAAAAGTAAATATTTTCCATTCTGTTTCCACTTTGCTATTCTTCAAAATGGTACTAGTAAATTTACCATTAATCTAGTAACATCTCCTTCTTTCATAGCATACCCAAGTAGCCTGTAAATGTGTGCTGCTTTCAGTCAGTTTTTGACTTCTGATGACTGCCTGCATTAGTCCCTGCAATTTTCTTGGCAAGTTTATTTTTCCAGATGTGGTTTGCCATCACCTGCTCCCTAAGGTTCAATGAGAATGACTGTCTGAAAGTCATCCGGTTGGCTTCATTCTAGATCTAAGGCAGGACTACAACTCATGGTCTCCTGGTTTTTAGCCTGGTGCCTTAACCACCAAACTGGCTCTCCACCCAGCAGCCTACATGAATCTTATCTCACTTATGATGTTTTTCATTCTTAGATTAACCCCATGATTTTAAATGAATGATTATCTTGAACATCGTTCAATGGGAGCCCCAATCTATATGTGGATTCAAACCAGGATCTCCCAATTTTAAGACAGCAAACCTTTATTCTGAATAAACATTTTGTAAAATGGAAAGCATCGAGATCAAAGGTTTTGGACATTGAACCAGGATTTAAATATGACAAGTAGCATAGTCTCAGATATCAATAGTTTTGTTTCAAAAAAGAAATCACCCCTCTGTTTGAGACTTTGATCAAAATGATCCTAAGTGAATCTTTTTTCTTTCCAAAAAATATCACAAAGCAATCACAAATACTCACAACACTTCTTCTCCGAAACCCGCAGATTTGAAGGCTTGCTTTCTTGGCTGTAACTGTTACCATTTATATTCTCTGGGATGGCAACAGCATCTGTTGACATTGCTGCAAGGCACACAATTCCTCAGTTTTGGATCACCAAATTCCTTCTAAGGACACATATGGGGGGTGGGGAGGAGGTTGTGAAGTGTGAATTATTTTCTAGAGAGAAAAGAAATAATAGGCATAGTCTACTCTATGAGGTTCCTTCTTGCTGGGATTTGCCCCCCCCCCCCGCCCCCGGAAAAAAAAGAACCTACACAAAAGTTCTTGGTCAAGGTCAACACAAGAGATAATTTTCTATTAATTATAATTTTCCCACACGGCAAAATATAATCTTGCATGAATATAAATATGATGAAAAAAAATTAAATACGAAGAACGTAGTCCTCAAAGGGAAGAAATAACGATGCCCTACATCTTCGTTTTGAACCTTATTCTCTTGGAGTGGGAGTCTCCCCATCAAACTCGGCACGATGCCACGCAACTACTGAGCAAGATCGCCGCCCACCCTTCGGTCCCCGGCTCCGGTCCTTTCTCCCTTGCGGTCTTTGCAGGCATACCTGCGAAATTCAGCACGCCCGCGCCGGGGACAGCAAGGCCAGAGTCCTGGGCGGGCGAGCGGAGCCGATCCAGTCCGCAAGAGAACCTTCCCGGAGCGCAGCCAAGCCACGGCCAGGTACCCGGGCGCAGGTGACTTTGTCCCCTCCCAGGCGGTGGGCGGGCAGAGGGTGGCAATTCTTCGGAGATGCGGTTATGCCAAGCGGCGTGAAGGCCAAGCAGAACAATGCCGGATGCGCCAAGACAAGTGACGCAAAAGAACTCCGAAAAGAGGGAAATATTTCTATTTCAGTGGGGACCGGATTTATACCTGTATTCGAGGCTGCGTGAATGCAGATTGCAAATGTATCTTTTCAAGGGAAACACTATGCAGAAGAAGCCAATTCCCTACCCCTCGCACAAGGTTTAAACACACAGGTATGTATATGTGTTGTATACATGTATGCATGTATGTATGTATATGTGCATGTCACGTATTGGCGTTTCTTCACTATGCGACACTAACGTCCTTCGATAATATTCGCTTCCTAGTTTGAACTCAAAAAGCAATCCGTGGAGACAGTAGGCAAATGGGGGACACGAATTCATGTGTTCTGAATGCTTAGAACGAAAGTCAAAGCGGAATTATTCCGTTGCTCTTGGAAAGGAGACCACCAGAAAACCCAAAGCGGTCAGGCTGGGGAAGTTAAGAAAACACTCCGGATGAAGGCAATTATGAATTACTTCCGTACTCTTGCCAAGACAAATGTACCGACACGTCCCTACAGCCGCCAGAAGTTATGAGTCATTAAAGGACGTTTTAGTTTTACGCATGCGCAAAGAGGCGCTTCAGCAATAGCTGCAGTGACTGAAAGGTAAAGCTTCAAGAAAGTGGGCGGGCAAAGACGGAGCTTGGATTGCGTCACATCTGTCAGCACTAACGTCAGTTTTCTGCGCAAGCGTACTGACAAAAAGCGGCACGGACGGATGTTTATCCTGATCCTGCGGTGAGAGTCCTTCCGCGATTCTGATTGGCCTATCGGGCAATTGTGCATGCCAGGAAGATGTAGAAGCGACCAATAAGGAAGCCCAAAGGGAAGGGCTACGGGGGTTGCCTGGATGCCGGGAGTTGCAGCCATTTTTGCTGCGGGGAGGCGGGGTGCTGTTAAATGAAGCCCGGCCGCCCTCGGCAAGACTACTACGGATCGGGCGGCGATCATGTTGCGGCTCCGTTGTAAAGCGCGGAGTGGGTCCTTTCCGCTTCCCGGCCTGACGGCACATTCCCATCTACACGAACTCCAGGCCGTGATCGCTGCCCTCACCGGTGTCCCCACCCAGGCCCAGCGCCTGCTGCTCGGCTTCCCCCCTTCGTGCCTCGACCTCAGTGATGGAGAGCAGCGCCTCGGAGAGCTGGGCATTCATTCGGGTAAGCGGAAGGGTCTTGCCTGGCTGGGCCCTTAGGCCGTTCCCGCTGAAAGTTGGGTCCCCCCCATCCCCATTCCCATCAAGAGGTGCCTCTCTACAGTTAGTGGGGAGATCTGAAAATGGCTTCCAGTCCTGCTCGGCGACTGTTGTGCTTTTTGGGATTCGAACCAGGAATCAGCTCGCCACTTAAAAAGACAACAATCCTGGGATGAAATCTTTTCAGTCCAGGTCATTTCATTCGGTGTTTTCTGAATGAAGGACGTGAATGGTGAATTTTTAATAAAAAAGGAAGAAAAATGTTGAATACATAGAAGAGAAGCTGCTTTTAGCCTGTAGAAATCTGGTTTCGTTGTTTATGCTAGGATGCAGTTGATAGGTATTGAATGCAGGATCATGGCTGGTAAGAATTGAAATCAAATATCTTTTCTCCTAGAAAAAAAATAGATATCCTGCTTGGAAGTAATCCTCTTTTTTACAGATATATTTAAAGATGTGCTCCTCAAGAAGAAAATTTATCTTTAAGATTGCATATTTTCTCTTTGTCAGAACAGGAAATTGCAAAGCTGTGACACAAATGTTTTGACATCTTATACTTGTCTACATTTGGTAGCACCCATCAATTATATTTCACAATTTTGCTCTTGTGTGAAGCAGAGCTTCCCTGTCTTTGGAAAACAAGAGGATTGCTATAACTTGTAGTCTTCTGCATCTTTCTAATAAATGTGAAATTTTTAATATGGAAAATATTGAGATGAAAATAGAATTTTTGCGTTATAAAATAGAAATTTGTGTTATAAAATTATGTAAGATATATTCACAATACATCTATTGGCTACAGAAGAAATATATAAGAATTTACCCATTAGATTTTTTTCTCCTGGAATCCTTATAAAGACATTTTCTATTGCTTGCCTCCAACTATCGTTAATGTTAATGATCGCACCTGAATTACATCTAGTTCCAAGTATGGGAACTCCTATCTTGGGCAGGGGTTAGACTAGTCAATCTCCAAGATCTCTTCCAACCCTATGATTCTATGATAGTCATACATGGATAACTTCAATGAGGAGTGAAATACTTCATATCATTACAGTAATCACTGCAGCAAAAGGAATATTATAGCCATATGACATACTGAAGGAGATGTACCTGAAAGAACCATGGTAGAATCATAATATAATGTTATTGCTTTGTTCTATTTTATCTCGACAGGTGATACTCTAATAGTTGAAGAAGATGCAACCAAGCCCAAGACTGATTCATCTATAGTTACAAAGCGGACTGTTTCTAATTCAGTTAGAGAAGCTGTACCTGTGCTTGCCCGAAAGGTTGTTCCAGCTGACAACTCATGTCTTTTTACCAGCATATATTATGTAGTAGAAGGTGGGGTTTATGAACCAGGCTGTGCCCCCGAAATGAGAAATCTCATTGCCCAAATTGTAGCAAGTGACTTGGAATCCTATAGTGAGGCAGTCCTAGGAAAAAGTAATCAGGAATACTGTGACTGGATCAGAAGAGAAGATACATGGGGAGGTGCAATTGAGGTTTCTATTTTGTCTAAATTCTATCAATGTGAAATTTGTGTAGTTGATACCCAGACAGTCAGAATTGATCGTTTTGGGGAAGATGTTGGCTATGCTAAACGGGTGCTTTTAATTTATGATGGTATTCACTATGATCCACTTGAGCGTAAAATCCCCAACTCAGACATTCCTCCCCAGACAATTTTTTCCACAACTGATGACGTTGTCCTTGCACAGGCTTTGGAATTAGCAGATGAAGCCAGAAGAAAAAGACAGTTTACTGATGTAAATCGCTTTACACTGAGATGTATGGTTTGTCAGAAAGGATTAACAGGGCAAGTGGAAGCCAGAGAACATGCCAAGGAGACGGGACACACCAATTTTGGAGAAGTGTGAATTTTCTGTGAGGTTGGTCATGTTTACTACCTCACTGATCCAGAACAAGCCTCCCAATTTTTAAATAAGCTATATGTAATGTTACAGATTCATTCAAAGTTTGAAAGCCCTAAGTTTAATTATGGCTGATATGCACAGGGTTGCAGTTGATAGTGTAAAATGTTTACAAGAGTGCATGCAGTGGTGTCATATTTTCCAAGGATCTTGGAGTATTCTTTGCACAACTAAGAACTAGAGATAGCAAAATAGCAACTGATACCAACAAGTGTATCAACTCTTGAAAAAAAGTCTTGAGCAGCTGCTGAAGAAATTCCTCTAACACAACTGAATATATACATTGCTGTAGCTAGCTAGGCCTGCATCAAGGACTTTAGAATCACTGATGAAATAAAAATCTCAGCTCCATTACTGGATTTTTGATTCTGGAATCTATGAAATAGTTAAGCTGGTTCCATTCATATCTGGCAAAATTATTTGCGTCTCAGTTTTGTTCATGTGAAATGTGTATGTTTTTGTAACTTAAAGCAGTAATCCCAAAGCTATCTTATTTGAAATTGCTGATTTGGAAAACTGTAAAAATAAGGAATGCTAGTTACATTTTCAGCAGTCTTAGAAAGTAAAGTTACTAATAAGTTTGGATAATTCCATAGTGCCTAATATACCAGTATACATTAATTATATTTTTAAAAGGTATGATCTGTTGGGGTGTTAATATGTATAAATTATAGGGCCTTCAAAATTATAAGAAACTCAGCAATATGAATTAGTGTATTCATATGGATAAATAATATATTGCAGCTATAATATTTCAAGGGGAGGGTGTTTCATGACATCAGATTGTTAAATTTAATGTCAAACCTTAGGGGCAGAGGTATGTTTCCAAATTGTCCACTTTTCTAAGTATAGCAGTGTCCCTGATAACTCAAATTATTCTCCTTGAAAGTAGTATATCATAGAGAAAACCTTCAGATGTGGATACATTGGAGGTAGAGGAAAGGAGAAGGTAATTGCCAACTGGGCTGGATGTTAAAAGCAAAACTTAGTGAGCTGCATCCAAAATCACAAAGTGTTGGCTGTTGGAAACCATTGCACTCTGATCTAACACCTGATTTGTTTCACAACTTAAGTACACACATCCTTTCACTGTTGTAGCTCTTAACTCATTCACTATTGTAAGCCTTATAAGTGTGTGTGTATGTTGCATACCTACACACAAATGCTATTTGCTAATACATGTTTTATGAATAATACGGTTTGCATGTGATAGAAAAGCTATACTTAATCTGGAGGGGTTTTGTAGGCAGTAGAAAATGTATTGGGGATTATCTGAATTAAAATAATTTACAAATTATAAGGAAAGGGTTTAGCATTTGAGAGAAAAGGAAATTAAAATGTGAGATTGTAATGAAGTGTGATCAGAACTGGTTTAATGCATGCTGACTTAGAAATAATTCAAATTATCAGAAAATAGAAGTGGTTTAGCAATTTAGTTGCCATCAATGAAATAGGCATTAGGAAATGAGTAATTTGGATCTAAACATTTAATATTTCTTGGCACCAAAGGATATACTTGTACCTTTTTAGGTCCCAAATATATGCATGGTTAATTGACTTTTGCATTTATTTTTAATGTAACATGATCTATAAAATTTCAAGCAAGCATAGGTTGGATAACAAATCTTGACGAAGTTATGCTTTATTGCAAGGATCTGCAACTTTGTGGGGATTAGGGATATATTTGGAATCTTGAGAACCAAGAATATATTTGCAAAATGGCTTCCAGGGAAGGTTTCTCCAATTTACAAAATGAATTTACAAAAGTAGTGGACTTCCAGGAAAGTCTGTTACAACTACACTAGCTAGTTTAGAGATATTAAGGATAACTCGGTTAAGACTAATAAAGTGGTATTTTTGCCAAAAGCCTTAAATGAAACAACTGCAATTATACTTGTTACAGTATAGGAAAATGTTACCAACCTCGCTAAGCTGCATGCTTTTATTGGCCCAAAAGACTGTTAGACAAGAATATTATAGTACGGTAATTTATTTAAAGTTCTGCTTTAAATAATGAGAATCAAAAGTATAGGAAATAAAACCATTTTACAATTAATATTGGTACTGATCTCTTTAAAGTCTAAAATCAGATTAGTTGATCTTCAAATCCTGTATATATATATTTGGATATAAGTAGACACTGGAGATTGTTTCTATCAGATATGCACACACACAACTATAACCCTATTCAAGAATTTTTTATGGCTCAATTGCCAAATATGGTTTGTAAAATAGGGTGTAATTATATAAAACATGGATGTGTAATATATTAAGCATTTAATCTGTAACCATATATCTACATATACTTGGAAAACATGATTAAAATTAATAAGACTTAGAGGAAGAAAAGATATATTCCGAGACTTGAATATAGTAATACGCTAAGGCCTTTAAACCTCGTGGTTTGGGAGGAGGAATCATATTTGTTCACAGACTAGCTGAGATTACATTTAAACCTAGATTCTGTATTAATCTCATTTCGTTTGCTGTAGAATTGATTACATGCACCTATCAAAGGTGACGAGAAACTGATTTGTTTATATTCCATTTAAGCAAAGGTGCTAAGGGAAGCTTATTTTGTATATTGTGTTCTATTAAATATTTTTAATTTTAAGAGTATGTACTTTGCATTTTTGCTTTAAGGTTTGTCTGAAGACATGGGTTTAAATCACACTAGCTCACTGTATCTTATTAAGTAAAATTTAAGTATTCCTATTTTACCATCAGTATTATAACTTTTAATATTTAAAATACAGTACGTTACTTTTTATTGAACTATTACCATAAATATGTTTCTCTACAGATGCACACATAAAGATCATTAGTTGCATGGAAATGCATTCAAGAATTCAATGTTTATATAAAATAAATCCTTGGTGGATTTAGAAAAACTAAATGTAATCTGACATGTTTCATCTAAATGGTGGTTACCTGAAAGCTTGTAAATTTGGACACTACAGAATATTATTTCATTTTATTTAAATATCGTAAGTATGAAGATGGTATCATATTTTGGTACCAGATTTGGATTATTTTTTTATTTTTCATAGCTATAAAAGAAAGTCTTAAGCTGGTAAACATAATTTGCAGTAATGGGTTGTAATAGTTAAACATTATGGTTTTCTTTCCTATTATAATGGCTACAAAACTAAATTGGATGATTGCTGAAACATGTCATAATCCAAACAATCTCTTATGCCACTTTTTAACTTTTCTAGCAGTGTTAAAATTAATATTTTTGTTGTAGAAAAATTCTAGTTCCTCACATCTAAATCAACTGGGAGATGAAATTTCCTATTATATCATTTATTTTATAAAGGAACCTATGTCTGCATTATCTTTAAAAACTATTACTTACACCTTCTTATGGATATAGAAATCAATTTAAATGAACTCCTTCAATCCAGGAGTAGAAGAATGTATCCATTTTTTGTTCTGGTGCCAATTTATATAGTTACAGTTTAATATCCTTAAAAGTATCACTAACTTTAAAATTCTCAGAAATTGAGAATAGAGTGCAATTTGAAAACAACATTTAAATGATAACTACTATAGAGTAATTCTATAGTATTACTTGATTGGATTAAATGTTGAAGATGTGTTCCAAAATTTGCATATCTGGTAATAGCACCAGCATTAACATTCAGAAATGTGAAAATGTATGTTTTAGCATATGGCCTTTTGTATATTTTTAGATGAGATCAGTGTATCAAATGCAGCACTTTAAAAGGTTGTCAATCATGGTTTATCAGTTTAGTGTGCTTTATGAAGGAATTAAATGAGTGCATTATTTTGTAAACTGGCATTTTTAAAACATCTAATATTTTACAGTGGTACCATATATTACAATAGTATTTCATGGAAATACATACTGAATATGTTCTGTTTAACATGCTCTCGAGTTTAATTATAGCAACACTAACATGTAACATTATGCATGCGTGCCCCACTTTGTATTCACTTGTATTTCTGCTTTCTATCTTTAATAAAAATTGATGCTGATACATATACATACTTTACACAAGCTATTGCAAAATGTATTGCAAATTATTAGCAAACAATTCCGGTGTGGGTTTTTTTTAATTAAATGACTGTTTTTGAATTGTCTATGGATTTAAATCAGTTTGAACTCTATGAAACTGCTTTATATTAACACTGCTATTCTAAGCAACTGTTGTATTCCATTAGCATCTCAGGCAGAGTTTCTTCCCATTGAGTATCTCCAGTGAAAAGGACTGAGTCTGGCTCTTATGCATTCAGCCCCTTTATGAGGGCGATGGGTGGTTAAGAAATATGATAGGTAGGTAGGTAGATAGATACCTTGCATAATATGCTGGAATGAATGACCCCTGTGCAAAATTAAAACAATATTTAAGAATAATTAATTTTGGAAAAGTGGTTTTGAAAAATAACTAAATATTAGATTGAGAATTAGCTACTTTTAGTATGTATTCATTAAAATATTAGGGTAATGTTACTCATACCCTTAAGTTCTCATTTATTTCAATGGGACAACTCTTGTGGAGCTAATTTTCATCTAATTAAGTATGTGGGATCTGTTAGTCTGAAAATGTGGAAAACTCCCCCATAAAAGAGGTGGAGTTGCACTGTATGTAAAGGACCACTATATTGGTACAGAAATGCATGAAACCAAAGATGAAAACCACCTAGAATGCATATGGGTCAATATAAAAGAAAAAAAGAATGACATGGCCATAGGCGTATATTATAGGCCACCCAATCAAGCAGAAAAAATAGATGTCCTTTTTGCCAGCCAACTAACAAACATATGCAGGAAACACACAACAATAGTAATGGGAGACTTCAATTATCCTGATATCAATTGGAAAACTAATTCTGCACCAAGTGAGAATCAAATAAGTTCCTAACCAACATAGCTGACAACTTTGTTGTCCAAAAGGTAGAGGGTGAAACTAGAGGGACAGCCATACTGGACTTAATTCTTACAAACAGAGAAGAAGTGATAGAGTTGAAACTGTAGGAACCTTGAGTGAGAGTGACCATGTCATACTAGAATTCAACATAACACAAACACAAGCAACAGAACATAATGACACCAGAGTCTTGGATTTTAAAAGAGCTGATTTCAATAAAGTCAGAACTTGGGAAAGATTCCATGGATGAAAATCCTAAAGGGGAAAACAACTCAAGAATCTTGGGAAACTCTAAAAAGTATGATCATAGAAGCCCAGACCAGCACAATACCAATGAGAAAGAAAAACAAGAAATCCAAGAAGAAACCAGCATGGTTGCACAAAGATCTCTTTGGCAAATTGAAATTAAAAAAGGACAAGTACAAAAAATGGAAAGAAGGACATACAACTAAGGCAGAATATCAGCAGATAGCCAGAATCTGCAAAGATGAAGTTAAGATAGCAAAGGTTCAGAACGAACAAAGACGCAACAAAAGTCAAAGATAATAAAAAAAAGTTTCTTCCAACATATAAATAACAAGAAAAAAATCAAGGAAACGGTCAGTCCACTAAAGAGAGAAGATGGCAAGGAAGTAACAGGCAAGAGAAAGCAGAACTGCTTAACTCATTCTTTGCATCGGTCTTCACGCAAAAAGAAACTAGCTCAACCCACCAAAAACATAACTGTAAAAGACAGACCAGAAATAAGAGTTAAAATAAGCAAAAAAATAATAAGAGAACACCTGTCTGATCTTGATGAAAACAAATCACCGGTGCCTGATGGATTACATCTCAGAGTTTTAAAGGAGCTGGCAGAGGTCATCTCAGAACCACTGCACCATATCTTTCAAAAATCCCATAGCACCGGGGAACTACCAGAGGACTGGAAAAGAGCTGATGTGGTTCCCATCTTTAAAAAAAAGGATAACTATTCCTCACTGTGATGGCGTTCAACCGGCGGTAATCACAACATAAACGGAGCTCTCCCGACTTCTTTTTAACAAAAAGAACAGGAGCCGAAAGTGGGGACGACGAGGGTCGAATAAATCCCCGGGCCAAGTTTTTATCTAAAAACTCTTGAAGTGCAACCAACTCGGGCTCCGACATGGAGTATAACCGACCCTTGGGCAGTGGAGCATCCAGTATCAGGTCCACGGGACAATCATAAGCACGATGCAGTGGTAACTGGTCCGCCTCCTTCTCGCTGAACACGTCGGAGAAGTCCGATAGCTCCGAAGGTATGGGAACAGCAGAAGCGGCGATATCCTGGCCAGCGCAGATATGTCTCAAATGATCCACACATTGGAGACTTGGAAAGGAAATGGCGTTCTGCGCCCAAGCCACCAACGGATCATGCAAACGCAACCAGGACACACCAAGTACCAAGGGGAGATGAAGGTCCGAAGTGATGTAGAAGTTTATCGCTTCCTCATGATCCCCAATAACCATGCGCACTGGTTGGGTGGCGAAACAAATGGGCCCAGCCTTGAGCTCACGCCCATCCACTGTTTCCACCTTAATGGGTGGATCTACAGCAACCAATGGAATCCCAAAGTGCGTAGCAAAAGCCCTGTCCATAAAACTGGTTGTAGCCCCTGAGTCCACCAATGCCACTGCAGGGATTCCCTCCTTCTGTGACTGTAAAAAGATTCGAGTGTTCAAAAGTAAATGCCGAGGAGGGCCAGGATTCACTTCAGCAATTTGGGGTGGGGGTGTAGAACATACCCGACCTAGGGTTTCCCCCGAGGTCGGGCCTACCCCTTTTCCCGACGGGCCAGGAGTGGTTTCAGGCACGGGTCTGCGAGTCCCTCTCCGTTGGCAGGAATTAGCAAAATGTCCCAGACCCCCGCAATAAAGGCACAAGCCTTCCTGAAACCTCGAACGTTCTCGCGCCATTAAGTGAGGGCGGAGTGCTCCCAACTCCATCGGCTCCTCCATCTTAACTGTGGTTCGAAAAACTTGCGGTGGCGTGGTTTGTGAATGAGAACGAGAATGTGGTTCCACAATGGGCCGTCTGCTTCCTCGCTGTTGTAAACGGGCTTCAATACGTAAGCACTGTATCACAAGTGCATCCAGAGTTGAAGCCCGCTCTGCATGTACTAACTCATCCTTGATGGTATCAGCCAAGCCCTCCTGAAATGCATCCATGTGGGCCGGTTCGTTCCAGTTAGAGTCCATACAAAGTAAACGAAATTCTGCAATGTATTCCTGCAGGGGACGTTTCCCCTG